TTTTTTTTACTTTTTATTGAATTACTGTGAGATAGACCTTACAAAGCTGTCCGTGATTGGATTTCAGTCATACAGTATTCCAACTCCCATCCCTCCACCAGCATACATTTCCCAGCACCACATTCCCTCTATCACCCCCCACCCCCCAGCCTGCCTCTGTAGCAGGCACTTTTCTTCTCTCTCTCTTTTTCTTTTAAGATTAGAAGAATTATGTATTCTAAATATGTAAAAAGGGGAAAAATCACTGAAAATACCGTGCACTTTGATTCAGCAGTGTGTATGTGTGTCTGTGTGTCTGTGCGTGTCTGTGTGTGTGAGATCAGAATTTACAATTCTAAAAGGTTCGTCACTGGAACTGATGTTGCACTGCCATTGTGGACTCCTCCACCCTTGCAGATTGCAGCACTTCTTTCCACCCCAGCAGCAATTGCTATAGTTCAGTGTCCCATCACAACAAGGCCAAAGAGTCCACTGACCTTTCCTTCTCTCTTGGGGAAGTAGTACAAGACATGCAACCTGGAGTCAAGCTAACTGACTATTCTCTAGTAAAGGCCTCAATTCAATCTACTCATCATTATAATGCACATAATCTTTAACCCTTGTATATTTTGTTAGTAACCATATAACACTTTCATTATGAGTGATAATAACTATCTACACCACACCAAAGTGGGTCAAGCCATCTTTGCCAGGACCACTGGGATTTAATTCCTCCTGTTTTCCTCAGATACCTTAAAGTCTTAATTAAATACATAAAAAAAGTTTTGTGTATCTACCTATCTCTGTTTATGCTCAACCTCATTGTTCATCAAAATTATCCTTGCAGAGAGGACTGCAAAGGACACTAGTTGCATATTCCAACTAATGTCGACACTAAAAGTATGTTTTCCATTTTCCTGGATGCTCTCATGTGCAGACGAAGTTAAAAACCCCGATATAGGCCTGGTTGCTGAAATATCCATTCCTTTTTTTATGTATTTGACTTTGAATCATTTTTCAAAGTAAAATTCAATATCACCTCCTTTGTGAGTTTTTCAAGAATTTTCCCTTTTTGGTCAGCGGAACAAACTCCACATCCCACTGTGTTCCTAAAGCACTATTTCAAGCTAACACATATAGAGAGCATTTCACATGCTATTTTTTCTCCCTCTGTCCACTCACACAAAGTTTAATTCCCTCATACAAACTCTATCACTGAGCTATATCCACCACCCACTTAGTTTCCATGTCTTTACCTCAATGAATAGAATTCTTCAGGAAATAGAAAAAAATACTATAATTTCTTTCTTAAGACATTAAAACATATTCTTGATTGGTTAGTGGATCATAGCTGGTTTCAAAATAAAACACTCCATGTTGTCAGTCTACTTGACTGCTTCAGAACCAGCTTCAAAATCTCAAATTCAAAGGATTCTTGCTTCCTGCTTTCTTCTAGGTGAGAGGCAAGAGGACAATTTCCTTGATTCCTCATTAGGCAAAATGCAGTCAATGAACCAATTGCCTGGCCTGAAAGCTTATTTGAAATACAAAACAGGTCCCATTCCCAACCTGTGAATGAAGAATCAAAATATTCATTTAAACCCCCTATTTAGTGATTTTTCTTACACACTGAAGTTTGAAAAACATTGCTATGCACTTTCTCTTCTAACTTCCATAACACTTTGTGTCAAACTTCCAAAATTGCTTTCACTGACTGGACATTCTTCTTTGGATTCCTAAATTAATCAATGAATAACTATACCAAAAAGAGTCTTTTATTTGCAAAAATGTTTCTAAAAGTCCACTTATCAGGGTTGCCTGAAATAATTTTGAAAGTTACTGTTACCTAATTAGGCCCCAATCCTACAAATTCTCAATTTGTAAAGGAGATATAAACCTACTGCTTTTTAAATTGGTGCTCTACTCCAGGCTGGAGCGATAGCACAGTGGGTAGGGCGTTTGCCTTTCAAGTGGCCAACATGGCCAACCCAAGTTTGATTCCTCCACCCCTCTCAGAGAGCCCAGCAAGCTACCGGGAGTATCTAGCCTGCATATATATATATATATATATATATATATATATATGAATGAATATATATTCAATATGCCAAACACAGTAACAATTGTCACAATGGAGACGTTACTGGGCCTGCTCGAGCAAATCGATGAACAATGGGAGGACAGTGACAGTGACAGCTTTACTCCATTTCCTGTCCCCTTCAAGAAATGCAACATAAACATTTATTTATTCTTTCTTTTTAATTATATTATTATAATTATGAGTATACCTTGGGTTTTCCTTGATATCTTTACCAATGTCTAATGATTTCCTTGTCAGAACATTTGGGTCATGTTTTCCGAATATTCTTTGCTTGTTTTTAGACTATACCTGAAAGTGCTCAGAATATACACCTGGCTCTGTGATCAGCAATCACTCCTGGTGTTTCCCAGGGAACTAGATGGGGTTCTAGGAATCAAATGATCCATCAGCTACAAGCAAAGCAAGCATCTTAATTCCTGATCTATCTATCCCCCCGAAAAAAAAATCTTAATTTCTTTGGGCTCAGCTGGAAACCATTCAAAAGGATTACTCTATCAGGGTTGGTTTAGGACAACATGCCAAACTCAACCTAATATAAATCTGGCCATTAGAATACTTAAACCTTTCTAAAATATATACTATTTTACTAAATGGACTTGTGGTTAGTGTTTACTTAAACTTTTTGGTTTTTTTTAATTAATTTATTAATTTTTATGGTTTGGGTCATACCCAGCATTTCTCTGAGCTTACTCGTGGCTCTTTGCTTAGGGACTACTCCTGGGTGCTCAGAGAATCATATGGGGTACTGGGGATCAAATCCTGGTCCACCTCATACAAGACAAGCACCATACTCTCTGTACTACCTTTGCAGCCACTTTTTAGAAAATACATTCTTTATCCTAAAGAATGGGCAGAAATTGGGATTGAGAGTAAAGACAGAACAAGTGACACAGCATGATTACAATTAAACATTGGTAATCAAAGATAAGTGCTGGCTGAGAAGTCTTATCTTACTGTGACTTTCATTTTCATAATTTTTCTTTCTCTTTTTGTGGCCTCATTGGGAGAAAAAATTACTAGGAGGCTGCCTCTGTTTGTGAAGACTAAGTGGTGCATTTTCTGAACTGATGACATGATGGAGACCCTAAGCAAGATATTTCATACAACTCTCAGGAAATCAGAGGGAGAACTCTTTAAACCTCATGAAGATTAATGTTCTATTATGTTCTGTGAACCCGGGGCAAGAATTGGAGCTAAATTTGCAGACAGCTTCAGCAGATTTATGTCTACCCCTGAGATGAATACCATACGCAGTGTTTTAAGAGTGAACTCTATGTAAAGTCAATCACAAAGCACACAAAATCGCTTCATAATATGCTACAACACAGTTAAACCTCCCTTAGGCACTGGGAGTCCCCTTTAATTATTTCTCAGAGACAGCCCATGGTCCTAGAATTAAAGGCTGGATTCCAGGCTAAGCTTTCAATATATTTCACTCACACATATTGGTTAAATATTTACCTCTATCCCCCAACTTATTTTGTCTTCTTTTCTTTCTGTATTCAATATATAATTGTCATGTTGCTGTTTTTTATTGAATGGGGTAAATTCCCACCCCAGCTTTACACCAAGAACCAACGACTGTCAAAAATGTCACTAGGAGGGACATTTTCACTTATGAAATTTAAATACCTGTCGAACTCTATCTGCTGAGCATTTACTAAAAAATCCAAAAAGTATTCGTATAATGAAAACCAAATACAAATTTATTTACTCACCCAGCATACATATTCCTGTCAAATATCATAGACTTGTTGGCAGCAAATAAAATGGAGCCATACTTTGTACATGTGAATCATCCTTGTTAAATTAATACCAATAAAGAAAAATAAAGACACCTGCTATTAAATTACAGAACTACAGATCTAATGAGAATAGATAGCTTTAGGTTATAAAGACACCTGCCTTAAAACTTATATTTTTGAATAACACAGTGAGTAGCGTGCTTGTCTTGCACATGGCCTATCTAGGTTCGGTCTCTGGCACTCCATATGGTACCCTACACACCACTAGGTGTGACCCTGAGCAGAACCAGGAGTAACTCTAAGCATCTCTAGGTATGAAAAAATGAGCACCAACTTACATTTTCAAAGGAACAACAGATGACCAATATTATCAGAACTGGAGATTTTGTCAAAGCATTGAGCTTACATGGGTGGGGTGGGGGACCTCGTAGCACACTTGAGACATTGCTGGAGGAAAGCTGACACTTTGGTGACAAATGTAGTGTGGGAATAAAGTATGCATGAAAGGTATAATAAACAACATTTTATTTTATTTTAGTTCCCGTGAGATACAGTTACAAAGCTTTCATGTTTGAGTTTCAATCATAGAATGATCAAACACCCATCCCCCCACCAGTGCACATTCTCCACCACCAATGTCCCCAATATAGCGCCCCTTTATAGCCCTCTCCCTGCCTGTGGATAATATCCCTCCCACCCCATCCCCCTGCCCCGTCCCACCCTACCTCTGTGGCAGGGCATTCCCTTTTAAACAACATTTTTAATCCTGTCAGTGTCAGTACTGCAATAAACATGGTATAAGTAAATAAAAACTTACTTCTCTTCTGGATTACGAGTTACTAAGAGAACATTTCACTTAGCACTCTAAATTATTTCATCAATTTAAAAAACTATCTTCCCAGACAAGGCATTTCATACAACAACCTAGCTCTCAGAGTAACATTTTCCCCAAGAAGACAGGTTCCCACTGAAGGTGTGGCATCCTAGTTTTTTGACCATGTTGGTTAGCTTGCTAACTGTTGACTAGTAGTACATCTCCCTTACGTCTGCCCATGGCACATAGACTAAATTACTTGGAAACAAATTAAAAATGAGTGAAAGGTTTCTATTGATCTCCATAAAAACTCCAACAGGTTGTCTTAAATATATGTCCAGGGTGGGGTTGGAGACAGTACTGCAGACATGTCTTACACATGTCTGACACAGTTTCGATCTCTGGCACCACATTTTCCCCCATGTTTCACCAGGAATGATCCCTGAGTGTAGAGCCAGAAGTAAGGACTGAGTAATGCCAGTGTGCTACTTTCCCCCGCTCCCCAAAAAAAGTGTCCAGGGACACAGTCAGGGGTAGAAGTGTTTGCTTTGCATGATGCTGGCCTAGTTCAATTGTAGCTCCACATGATTCCCCAGGCATGGGTGAGTGCAGTTCTGGAGGTCCATGAGCAGCACCCTGGAGACCTGAGCTGGAGCAGCACTGTGTCCTTGGGCCCTTACATTAAGAACTGCCCCTAAGCCTCCTGAGCACTGATTTGGAGACCTCTTCCAAATCAAACTAAAAATTATTCTTCAGACTGTCTGGTATGCGTGAAAACTTTCAAATCTCAAACATTGCACTTCCCTACTCTAGTTCTTTCCCTCACTGACTTGGTTTAATTTTTTATGATCACTAATGAGGAAAACATCCAAAATCAGGATCTCATAAAACCCTTCATAAGAACTTTGTCCATTCAAATTCACACAGAAGTTCTGATTAATTAAACAGGTATGTTTTCCAGTGCCTCTTCATGTAACTAAAAGCCAAATTTTCCTGTGAACATCCAGTGAATAAGCAAAGGGCAATAAAATATAGCCTGATGGCTTCAAAAAACAGTCTTTTGAGGAGCAACACCTGGAGGTGCTCTGGGCTTATTCCTGGCTCTGAACTTAGTGATCACCTCTGGTGGATTCAGGAGACCATACAGTATGCCAGGGATCAAACCAGGGCTGGTCACATGCAAGACAAATGCCCTACCTACTATATAAAAAAGTTGCTTCAGCCCAGAAAAGAGTCTTAAAGAAATCCACGCATTCACTGCTTTTGCTGTTGTTTCTTGCCTTGTACTTTTAAAGGAGAAATAGAAAAGACTAGAGGAATTGCATCCTGCCCCTTTTTCTAGCTCAACTCCTATGGCATTGAATGCACTGGTGGTGAGAGCTTCAAAAATTTTAGTCTCATGGTTTTCAATCAGAACCTAAAATGTTTATAAATGTTCAAATAACAGCGGACGGGCTGAATTTAAAAATGTGTATGGATTTCTCATTAAGATGTGCAGATTCTATGAACATCAAAACCTACATTTTTGTCTTTGTTTCTGGACCACACTTGGGAGTGCTCAGAGTCTGCTCCTGGCTCTGTCTGGAATCACCCCTGGCGGTACTAAGGGGGAACACCACGCTGTGTCAAGGATTGAACCAGGATCACCCACGTGCAAAGCAAGCACCCTGTACTATCTCTCTGGCTTGAAATCCTAGTTTTAACTTGGGTCTCTGGTTGATACACTCCTCCTCTAGCTGCTAACCACTCTGGACAAACTTCATGTGGTTTCCTGCAACCCAGTCAGCCAGGTTTGCAGAATGGGAAGAAAATAGAATTTCAACTTTACACAAGAAACCCAAAATACCCAAAGGAATTTGATCTTGGTACAGGTAACTGCAAATGTTAATTTTTAGGCAAATAAGCTTCTGTGCATGTGTGTTGTCTCAGTAAAATACCTAAAGTCTCTTACCTTGTAATCCATTGTCTGCTCTTCTCCAACAATCACGAACAATTTTGAGACTCAATAGGTCCACTCACAACTGCTGAGGCCTTCAACATTTATTTGGCATTCCGTGCTGTAGCTCTTCATTTATTTTTAGGGGATAATGAGAAAGACCACCGACTTACAATCTGGCATTTACCTCTGGCTCTGACAGGTGAAAGTGTTAGCTAATTAGCTAAGTGTTAGATAATTAATTACTCCAGTGAATTATTAGACTAATTAACATGTCTGTTTTCACTGCAAATTCTGTCATCCAATGATCTTCATCACTAACCTTCCAGATAATGCCAGTGAAGATGCATGGGTCCCCTACCACAAATCTCCAGGACATTAAGACAAGAGGTCACCACTGAGTCGACATGCAGAACAGTCTATAGAACCTATAAATAGTCCTGTAGAATCTATGGCTGACTCCAGTTGATACCCAGCATCACACGATCCTTCAAGCACTGCAATGAGGAATCCCCAAGCACAGAGCTTAGAGTAGCTCCCCAAGCACAGAGCTTAGAGTAGCTCCCCAATACTGCCAGTGATGATCCTCAAACCAAACCCTCACCCCAAGAAAAAGAATCTCTGAAGTTGTACTACTAAGTTGTGTCTTCTACAAAGTCTTAAAATAGATTTTCTACATTTCAATCTTTTGATATTTGAAAATATATTTGATGTTTGATATTTGAAAAACACAGTAGTTTTTTTCTTGGCATTATTTTTTTATCAATTATAGTGTGAAAGTTTTGTTTCCTGAATAGAAATAGAAAAAGAGAAGAAACACGTTTTAGAAAATCTGTGTGCAGGTCTTTATGAGGAAAAGTTGTTAGTGTTTTGCAAACCAAAATATGTGCAAGGCAGGGTCCCAAATTCCAGAGCAACTTTAATCTATGCATTATCTTCTCTAACCATTCCACGATTGGGGAATAACCCAAAACATTCCATAGTGTCCACGTGCACATATCTCACACACACAATGATTTTATCTCTGGATAATTTTACCCCTGCATGGTGGGTGCTGGAGAGATGAAATTAAGAGTCCTGGAGGTACCTGGGATGGAGTCTGTGTCTCTTCCCAGCTGGCACAGTGAATCTGTGAGTCTTATGAGTGTAAACTCAGAGCCATATTCACACCACCCCCATACAGCGCTCCTGACCCTCTGCAGCAGGAAGTGATGAGGAATTTGGGTTTCCAGAAATGTTATTTTAAAGGCCTGGGCATCTATCTCCCTTGTGGCAAGTGCAGTCTGAGAACACAGGGATGAGGGTGCTTGGGGAACCAGATGCAAGGATTAAATGAGAGTCAGCCATAAGCAAGGCAAGTGCCATGATCCCTGTACTAGCTTTAAAAACCCACTAAGATGTCTACAGTTATCTATTCTGATACTAAGTGTTTTGTTTACATTTTATTTATTCAACAAATAATTACTAAGCATAAGCTATGGACCAGGAAGGGCTGGTGATATGAACATAAATAAAGACAATTATTGGTTCTCTTTTTTACAAAAATATCTGTACTCCATCGGTGTTCCTTCCCGGAGTCCCTTGGAGGGGAGCGGGTTGAGCTTTCCTCCCCGCCCCGGCCAGGGCTACGGCAGCCGGAGACCTCCAGGACCAGCCACCACCATGCTGAGACCACTCTCCGCACACCTGAAGGTACTGGCAGAGGGACAAAGCCACGCGGGTTCTGGGGCCGAGACCTCCAAGCCTACTCGAATTGGAGTCGAGCATCTTCCACCCAGATCCTCCAAATTCCAGTAGGCGGGGGTCACACCCACCACCTGGCCCCCTGGCGCCGTGTAATCCCATCAGCGGCCAAGACTCAGAGACCATAAAATCTGGATCCCGGAACCGCGCGGCCGCATTCGCGGCCGCGCGACATCTTATCAGAACTTTTCTTTATGACATCTTATTATCTCATTCCTACTTTGGACAAACTTGCAGGCTTTCGAATGTAGGCTGCCCACAGGGCAGAGTCTGGCAAACTCCCTGTGGCCTACCAAATATGCCAAATACCAGTAACAATGATGGGTCTCATTCTCCTAAAGAGCCGTGAATATAATCTCAGGGCTAGGATGAAAGAGACGTTACTGGTGCCTGCTCGAGGCAATCGACGATTAACAGGATGATGAAATGAAATGAAATGAATCTGTACTCCATAAATAGAAGATACACAGGTGACTTTTGATATATTGAAATACATGTATTAAGTGTACTCTTTATTAATCACTACAAGTTATTAAGTCTTTGGATCTTACATTCTTGTTGTCTAATACCGAGACTGTGACTGCCTCAACATCACCCCCTTTAAGGAAATAAATAAAGCACAAAATTATTTATTTTATGATGTATGGTGTTGTCTCTTTACATTTCACACATATGTGCAAATTAACTTATTTTCTATTAGCAAAATAATTTTCCTCACTTTGCCCTCCACCATCCTAGAGGGTGGTAATTTGATATTTGCCCACCAAGAGTATCTTTGGTTTGAATAGTCTCACTCAGGTTTTGCATTTCTTCAAACACCAATCTACCAGTGTAGAGAGGCCAAAAACCACTGCTTTAGCACCCTGGTAACAACTGCAGGACACAGTAAAGATGCTGGTCTGAGAATAGAAAGGTGGAAAAACATTGGTCTTACAGTTTTGAATATGTCGTACAGTTTTAGTAGTTACAGACAAGATGAAAACTAATAAATAAAAACCTAGTTTCCAGGATCCACTGACCTCCAGAACTGGGAATCGAGCCAGGTTTGGCTATGTGCAAGGCAAGCACTCTTCTGTCTCTCCATCCACCTCTAGAAACCTTCGAAAGTTGCAATTTGCTCTAGGAAAGCAATTCGTCTTGATAACAGAATTTCACTCATTTGGCTTTTTCTTCTATAATTTGATTTCCTTCTATAATTTTATTTATATATTTAAAACACATATAACAACAGATTTACCTTTGGCCAATGATTCAAAATAATAGATAAAATAACACATTTCAAATCCTATGGACATTTATTGCAAAGGAAGGACTTCACAGTTTTCCATGATTCTAGAAAAGAATTGTTTCTTAGCTTCCCTTTCTTAGGTCTATAATTAAAGACCATAGGCTGGTAGCTTAGACAGAGAGCATCTCTTTTACAGTTCTGGAAGCTTGAAACTCTGAGATAAAGCACAGGCATATTTGGTTTTGGCTGATAGCACAGGCCTTTCCCTGTTTGCCCATGGCAGAGAAAGGCTGAGCACATTCCGTGGAGTCCCTGTACAAGGACACTATGGCTCTGCCCTTGTGATCTTCCCAAGGTCCCTCGTCCTAGTCCTGTCATCTTGAGGCTTAGGATTTTGACACGGAATGTTGGTAGCAACATCTTTAGTCACAACAGTCTACTTCTAGTGGGGGTTAGTCATTGTTGTGTTTGTTCTGAGGCCTTTCCCGGTGATACTCAGGGACTACTCCCGTCTCA